ACTATAGGAGGACCCAATTCATCAGCAACTCCTAAAGGGGTTTTGCTACAGTGGAATGAAGACTTTATTGTTTGCACTCACTGTTATCAACAATAGAAATCATCATACTCACTTTAGATCTTTTGTCATGGTTAGAAGATCTGGGATCCCATTCATCACTGTTTCTAGCGTACTGTGCACCTGTGGGAGATAATGGGATCATATATCATATTACATTAAATCCTCTTTTATTTTAGCATTGTCATTTCTCTCTGTACAAGTATGATAAACATACTCCATAATATACTTTTGTCATATACTGCATCAGCTCAGTCCCCACAGTCACAATATAAAAAAAATATCTCTGCACATACATTGCTTTAGGACAGTGGTCTGCAAACTGTGGCCCAGGGGCCAGATGTGACTCTTTGCTTGCCCTTAACCGGTCCTTGGGGCACTATTCCTCCCATTGATGCCAATGATGGGGCACCATTCCTCCCAATGACACCTACAATGGGGCACTATTCCTTCAACTAATACCAACATTGGAGCACTATTCCTCCCATTGCCGCCAATGATGGGGCGCCATTCCTCCCAATGACACCAACAATGGGGCACTATTCCTGCAACTAATACCAACAATGGAGCACTATTCCTCCCACTAAAACCAATCATGGGGTATTGCTTACATCCATTGATGGCAGGGCATTTTTTTTACTCCAACCAGCCACAGTCTGGCTCCCCCCCAAGGAGCAATAAAAAAAACATTCTTGCTCACTTGATAAGTTAAATTATTATTATGTGATAAGCACAAGTTTTAAACAGACTGTTTGTCATGGATCAGTTCACTAATCATAAGAAGTCACACAGCTAGAACACAGTGTCATACTGAGACCACAAACTGTATGATTAACTGCTTGACCTGCCAGAAAAAACATTTGGATAAGTTTAGACGTGCGGCTCACTTTTCAAAGGTGTTTGACAGGCAGTGAGGAGGCGATATGATACCTCCTCACTGCTTGTTCTGTAACTGCTACACCAATAAGGAAATCCTCAGCTGTTGTGGAAGATTTACAGCATGTTTCCATCTGCTTGAGTAAGTCCCATTCAGCAGTGGTACTGTGACGGGGAATTTTTAGCCGTAGGTGCAAAACATTGTGACAGCGTCATGTAAAGACCTCCAACTGCTGCCTTCGCAGTAAAAGGGGGGACTGTTAGGGGCACTAATAACGCAGCTCAACTGCGTGTTTTAGCCCCGTCCCCCAAACACAAGTCTAAACAAACCCTTGAGATGGTTGCCTATCTTAAGTACCCTAAACATGCACTTTAAAGGTAACCCTGTATTGAGGAAAACATGGAGGATGCCATTTCTGACCTTCTGAAAATACTACTTGTATGGCAGTCCCTGGATTCCATAGTTTGAGATGCTGATATACAGAAAAAGCATGTTTATCAGGAAAGTCAGTGAATTATATTATGTATTTGCTCCAAGTCCATGAATCAGTCAGTAATGACTTAGGAAATCTACCTTTGCAGTTTAACCCCCCACACACCACCACCCCACCCATTACATTACCTTATTCCCCATTCTGGCTCTCTCTTCTTCTCATTGACACTCCAGGTTGTGGGCAGAGCTTGCCATCCTCATGTACAATGCAGGACTATTGGTCCTGCATTGCACTTGATGTCAGTGTGGAACTGCCGACCAGAGCTTAGAGAAGAGGAAGGTAAGGAAAGTATTACATCTCATTCCTCTACTCCTAGACTTAACAAGCACATAACCTTTACAGTGTGAAAGAGCCCCACTACAAAGGTAAGATTTTTTCCAGCCTGGAGTTTTTCACCCTTGCTCAAGATGGACACTGCCACAAATGCTAGGGGGTGTTTTTCAAAAAGATTTCTTAGAAAAATAAAGCTTGGAGACATGGATAGAGGTGTTTATTTTGAATATTAATAAATTAATTATATAGCATTTTTGGTTTCTGGTACTCAGATACAGTGCAGTTCCACTTTAAATCTGAATGCCAGGACAAGCAAAAAGTGTCTAAATACAAGAGCCATGTATATTGTCAGCCTCTCCCTGCTGAAGGTACGCATATACGCGGCCTCTCTCAGGTGGGTGTGCTTTACCACCGAGAGGCCATATATATGAGGCCCTATGTAAATACTTTTCTGTGCTGAGAGCGGGTCCCGTGCGCTCTCCAAGCACAGTTACTGGTGGGGGTTGGAAAGCTCCCGCTGCATACTTGCAATTAGGAGCTTTCCAATCATGTGACTACTTTGACAGCCAATCATAGCGGTCAGATTACCCAAATGCCAGCCTCTCAGCATTTAGAAGCTCTTAAAGGGGCAAGAAGGGGTTAATTAAATCTTGGTGTGCTTTGTGCATTTCTTCCAGATCTGTGAAGTAATCCAATGTCAAACATTGCCTCTGTGCAGGAGTTTCCTGTATTAAAGACCATCCACTGCTGCTCTCTCTTTGTACCGGATGATTGGTCTTGTTCCCGCCCCCTCCTGTAGTTTTCTGCAGGCAGCCTGTAGTGGGTGGGCCTGTTGGGCCCCTCCCATAGTTCTACTCTCTGCACACTATGTGCTGCACATTGAGGACGTCACTACCAGGGGCGGACTGACCATTTGGAAACTCGGGCACTGCCCTATGGCCCGGGGTCGGTAGGGGGCCCCATGAGATTCCCCTGGTACCTTTTTCATAGGCTTTTTTGAGTTTGGGCATGGACACAGGGGCCCCATGATCCCCTATTGCCCGGGGGTCCCATGAGTTGTCAGTCCGCCCCTGGTCACTACTACTTTTACAAGGTAAACTGGGTTTGTAATGGCATTTGGTGCACATGCAGTGGATGGTTGTGGAATATATTTACTGTAAATGAAGGTTTTTTGCCTGGAGTTTTGCTTCAATTATTTGGAGGAGTGTCCACAGATTTTTGACCATATAGGTGAGTGTGATGGTCAGAAGTCCACAAATGTTTGGCCATATAGGTGAGTGTGATGGTCAGAAGTCCACAAATGTTTGGCCATATAGGTGAGTGTGATGGTCAGAAGTCCACAAATGTTTGGCCATATAGGTGAGTACGATGGTCAGAAGTCCGCAAATGTTTGGCCATATAGGTGAGTGTGATGGTCAGATGTCCAGAAATGTCCATTTAGGTGAGTGTTTGGTCCATTTAGGTGAGTGTGATGGTCAAAAGTCCACAAATGTTTGGCCATATAGGTGAGTGTGATGGTCAGAAGTCCACAAATGTTTGGCCATATAGGCGAGTGTGATGATCAGAAGTCCACAAATGTTTGGCCATATAGTGTATTTCTAGGAAGCATGATTCATATTGCAGCATTGTCCTGTAAGCTGGATTTGAACAATTCCTCTGCATGATTTCATGTTGTAGCATTGTAATTGGCTGGATTCTGAATACTTCTTTCAAATATAACAAGCTATTCTATATACCCTGGCCAGTGCAGGACAAGAACATTTGATAAACATTTTATCATTGTTGCAAAATGAAAACAGGAAACCGCAAAAAAGCTTTAAGCTTTTAATCCTTGAAATGATAAGCGGTTTAAGACAACAGCAGTCTAAGTAATGAATGAATGAAGTAAGTAGGAGGGAGGGGGACCTTGTAAGCTGCAAATAGTTTTTACTCTATAGCAACTGGGCTAGAGTTCATATTGATTACTATGCAAGCTCAACATGATTTCCTTCTAGGTTTATTTATTACCAGAAATGGAATTGTTCATAAATTATATTCAACTTTCCAATAAACATCTGCAGCGGTAGCACTGACTCACATAGAGCTCTCTAACATCATCACACTGAGAGAATGGCAGATACTCACGTGTTCCGTGTTCACAGTGGTAGTCTCATTGGCTTTCATGTTTATTAAAATGCTTCTGTGTCTAAGCTGCTCCTCAAGGGTCATGTTCAGTCTGGTCTTCAGCACTCTCAGCTCCTCCAGCAGCCGGGCCTGCCCATAAAGAATCATCTCTAACTCCCGCTGACTGTCTGATTCAAATTCATTCTCATCTGATTAAGGAAAGAAGACTTTAATAATATCATTCAGACGGATGACTTCAAACCCATTTTTTTTAGTCTTGAATGGAAAAATGAATTAATTGCAGGTGTGGTTTAGGCATCTCCTTGAAAAATTCAAGATTACAGATAAAATGTAGGACGTTTATTTGCTCCCCAAATATATTGCAAAGAAAACGTACAGCCACACACCGCACGTATCCAGCATTCTCAAAAATATACACTTCCAGACAGCTTTGACAAAAGCCACCGTGATTCTACTTCTCTGATATGTTTCACCCAACAAATGAGCACATTTGTTGGGTGAAACACACCAGTGTAAGAGGAAACCGGCAGAGTTTGTCTGCAACATTAGGAAATAAATATTTTTGGAAAATGTTGGTTACACATAGTGTGCAGCTGCGCTTTATACGTGGCCAGAAATGTTGCTGGAAGTTCAGAAGTAAAGTGGGTGGGTAAGCCTTTATTGGTTGGACTGTACCTTCCTATAACTATGAAAGGTTTTGATCAAGAAAGTAGTCATTTGCTATATGTCTTAGACTTCATGTACATGGACTCATTTGCATGTGTATTTTTTTTTGTGTACGGCTGCCCATAGACATGAATGGGTGGAGGTGGCTGTACATAGCTATGCACCACTGTTTGCATAGAGTAGCACACATGCACAGATGTAATCTCCCAATGCAAGTACATCCATTCATATCTATAGATTGCTTTATGCAGCTCTAGGACATCCTAGGCACGAAAAATACCTAGACTCTTTACGCTGCATAAATAAATGTATCCATGTGCGTGTAGCCTTACTTTTATCACCAACATCTATTAAGGTGCCCAACGGTATAGACAGGTGTTATCAGCACAGTATTTCCTACAGTCTTCTCGATTGTTAAAAACTACATTCAGCTCAGTGCAAGATTCCTGGGCCCAGAAATATGTTAGGGTTGCGCAGCCTACTGGTAGAATGTTCCGCTTTTATCTGTATTGCTTGCAGTTCTATTTCATTGAAGCTTTTGCATTATATCAGCACCCACTTATTAAATCTTCTAAGGGATGGATATAAAGAAGTACAAAAATGTTATCTGCAGGGGCGGACTGACAACTCATGGGGCCCCCGGGCAATAGGGGATCATGGGGTCCCTGTGTCCTTTCCCAAACTCAAAAAAGCCTATGAAAAAGTTACCAGAGGCATCTCATGGGGCCCCCTACTGACCCCGGGCCCTCGGGCAGTGCCGAGTTTCCAAATGGTCAGTCCGCCCCTGGTTATCTGTTTAAGAAAATGTAGCTAGTTTACTCCATCTGCTTTCTAGACAATATAATGATGGTTAGCACTAAATAATACAATTGCTAAGCTGTTGTTCCTCAAACCCACTAAAATTAGCACTGAGAGGCGAAAGTTTGAACATGGCCTAGTATATGTAATTTCCAATGCAGTATAAACAATATGTATAGCTCATACTATGTTGCCTGGAGGTTGAAATGTGAGGCATCCAGTGATTCTATTTATTATGTAGTGCTTACCCCCGGAGGGGCCGCTTAAAATAATCCATGTCTCCTTTACCTCTGCAGAGGCTGCCAGGCTCAGATACCAGTTCCAGAGCACACCGACAAACAAGCTCAGTCTAGGGGTGTCTGTTTGAAGATTGTTTGCAGTACTTGAACACAGGCAGGTAAAGGGATGTGGGTGCAGGATACTCCAAAACACAAGAAGTCACTAGAGCAGTGTTTCTCAACCTTTCTTCAGTCAAGGCACCCTTTAAAATTCTGCACAAATCTCAAGACACCCCAATCTAAAATGTAAAAACCTATTCTTCACACATCCAGTACACCCAATGTTAGAGGTGATTTATTCTTCCAACGCAAATACACCTTTGCACATTGGTACTCACTAGTATTCCAGTGTTTCACTCTCATTTTCTCTCCCTTACTCTACTAATGTGACCCCAGTCCTGACGGACAAGGGCAGGGGAGGGCCAAACAAGGATGATGTACATGCACCTGACACCCTTGTTATCAACTGATGATGTCATTGGTTGTTAGGATGCTGGCAGCTAGAAGGTTATAAAAGTGCACAATGAAATCTTGTGGCTTTGTGTACTAAAAGGCAGGATTGATCCACCTGCTGGGTTGTATACAATTTTTGGGCATTTTGCCAAGGCACCCCTGAAGAAGCCTGAAGGCACCCCAGGGTGTGCCTGGGCACCCTGGTTGAGAAAGGTTGCACTAGAGGAAAGATTCTTGGGCAAAGTCCTTGAGCAGCAGGGTTATGAATTGCTGGAGGTAGAGGGGACAGCCAGCTAGTCCGAGAGTCTGTAAGAGCAGTCACAGTGTTTTTAGGAACCTCTGGCATCTAAACCTCAAAATATAGGCACACCTGGAACTGTAGGCAAAAAGTCCTATTCACAACATCCAGAGACAGCCCCAAACCAGCCTCCCTGTAAAACTCTTCAGTGAAAGGGTTCTTTTTCCAGCCCATCTCCTTGAGGTAGTGTCCTCCAGCAAATTTCTTTCAGTCAAGGTTCCTCCAGGCCCTCAGCCAAGCACATGCTGGGGCTTGATAGCAAACGTTCTTCCGTAACATAGGCAGAGTTCCCAGAAGAGAGAACTCCCAAATATTTATCTTCTCCCCATCCAAACCTTCTGGGCCTACCTCCCAGGGATTGGCTGAGGTAAGAAAAACATTCATAATCCAGTGGCAATCCCTCCTACCCTATTTGCAGAGATAGGCAGGAGCAATCAACCACCAGGATTACGGCAGGACACTACACTTTGGTTTTCAGCACAAAAGGGCTGTTAACCTCTTCTTGCCCAAAATCTTTTTTTTTTATCATTCTGCAGAACAATAGCCAGTGCTTGGAGAACATGTTAGTAAACATCTTTCCTTTGGTGATACTTTGCATGGCTCTGAATCCCATTAGTCACTGACAGCTCTAGTCTCCACCGGCAATCAGAAAAAAACCAACAAGAGTAGTTGGAAATCATGTGATCGCTATGTCAGAAATGATAATGATTGCATGCAGGTTAGAGGCATAATTATTAAAATAAGCCCTCAGACTCCAGATGACACTGCAAATGCAACTATAAATTGAAGGTGGCAGTTTTTATTCGTTTAATGATGTAATTGTCAGATGCAATTACAGTTTTTAAAAAATAATGTAATTTCAAAATATATTTGTTTGCGCATTTGTCAGCCTACAGTTAAAAAATAGAATAGTTAACCAGTATACCAATTAAAAGCTCTATATATAAATTGATTTGAGTAGGAAAATTAGTTACTGTTAACTGATGCATATTGACCCTGCTAAATTTGAACTAGGTATCTAGGCCTCAGTGACATCATCATTTAATGCAGTTACTGCAAAATACTAAAATTAGGTACTGATTACACCTGCAAGGGAAAGTATGAACCTTGTATGGGATGATTCTTATGGAAATCTTCCTTATTCTTTTCTAGCTCTTTCTGAAACTCTTCAAACTCTTTCTCATACCTTTCCCTTTCTTCAGCTGGGATCTGTGATCCTGGGGACTAGGATGAAAAGAACAAAATGGAATCCAATATTAAACAAATATGGAGAGAGAACATCAATTTATGATATCTACTATGAAATTTGAATAAGACGACACACATGGATACATCCACGCTTGTATTTGCATTTGTTTGGAAGTAAAGCAATTCTGGTGCAAACAAATGTCTTTGCACAAAACACTTATCTTTATTATTATTAGGTAAGCTGACCATGGACAAGTAGTTTTTTTCATTCAGTCAGTGGGCTGCACCCACTGCTGTCAAAATGCACTGATCAGCGGCTGCGGCCACTGCTCTACAAAAGTTTTCCAGCATGTCCTTTCAACAGAAGTCAATCAAATGAACGGCATCTGTTGAGCAGGGATGGCCACACAGTGATTGAAATATAGCCAGTCATTACTAAACTGGTCCAATTTCAATCCGTATATGGTCATCTTTAATATATACATTGCTACAAGAGTATACAGTAGTAATAGGCATATACAGAAATATGCTGCCCTGCTTACAGTGTATCTACAGTAAGCTCACAAAGTAGATCTACACATATTTAAATGAAATTGGCAAAATGAGCACCAAACAGTTGTCTTAAAAACCCATAAAAATTGATTACATCAGGAAGATAAAGGGTAGCTAATGCTCAAATGAAAATGACAATACTTCCTAAAGGACTCTAATCTAAAGGCTCCTGGAGAGTGTTCTACATCAGTCATGATAGATGTGTGCTAGAGATAATAGTGCAGAATTATATTTTTGTGGAGGCCTAGCAACAAAACAAGCGGAAAGTGTCTGTGGTGGACCCAACTATTTCCTGCCTGCCAACTATTTTCCTGCCTACAGTTTCAGTGCTTTTATGCTACCTTATTTATGTTTTTGAAGCCCATTTGTCACTTCCTAGGCCTGAGAGTACACAAAACTTTCTTGCAGGTCCAAGAATTCTTGATGGAATCAGCCTGGTCTGTGACTGCATCGCTGCAACAAGAGGAATTGTAAGGGAAGGAAACAGTCCAAGGGACATGGTCATTGATGCGACGGACTAAGTCATCAGTTTCTGAATGCAGGGGAAAAGACTTTCATCCCAAAGTGTTCCGCAGCATCTGTTTCCTCTAGGGATACTGGACATAGATCTATTAGAATATCACTTCAACAAGGGAGACAGGTTTGTGGCCAGGATCAGAGATTCAAAGGACTTTGCAGTGGATGTACTGGTGACCTCGAGGGATTAGTTCTGGCCAACCTTTGCCTACTACAGATTCTTCCTCGACTGCTTCACAGCAGGGCCATGCAAGCAGGAGGCTGGGGTGGTCCCTCTAGATTTTAATTGTGCCCCCTAGGTCACTGAGAGAGCATCCACTGATTCATGATCCAGCCTGTTTCGGGGCAATTAATTTAAAGGTGCACTCTGATGTGCTGCAGACAGTTGTTAAAAGGAGGCACTCTGATTGGGACAACCCATTTAAGGGGGCACTGTGATGGGGATACCTGATGTAAGGGGGTACTCTGATGGTGAGAGTTGAGGTAAGGAGGCCATCTGATGAAAGTTAGCACTCTGATGGAGACCCTGATGTAAGGGGGACTTTGGTGGGAAACTTGATGTAAGAGAGGACTCTTATTGAGCCCTTGATGTAAGGGGGCACTCTTATGGGGACTCTGATGAGTACGCATGATACCTAATACATACATGATACTTAAAACACAAAACATAGTGTTTCCCAGATAATGACAAAGTATTGACATTGTGTCCCCTGACTTTTTTCCACTGCACCCCCAGATTGCCTTGCTTCACAGGATGGAAATAGAGGGTATTCTGGTGAACTTGGTGGCACTAAATCAATCCAGAAGGACTTGGAAATTGGACATTCTCCAACTCCTGGGAGACACTCTGTGATCACTTCCAAACTAACCAGACCTGCTGTCTGAAGGACCAGTCTACCATTTTGCTGCACTGATGTTGGCTTTGACAGCTTGGCTGTTCAAAATCCAAGTTCTCTGGCTCAATTATTCCTACATGCTTAAAGCTAAGAAATCAACCTCTTGCAAGGTCTATCATTGCACTTGGAGGGCACAGAAGTTTCACCCCAGACGACACTCCGTGGGATGCATCGCATCCTTTTTTCCCAATTTGAGCTGGAGCAACATTTGGCCTTGAACACCTTGACGAGTCAAGTCTCTTCATTGTCCATTCTCTTTCAGAGACTGCTGGCAACGCGTTCTCTGGTAAAAGCCTTTGTTCAGGGGTTCATGTCACTCACTCTGTTCGCACACCTGTCTTGTCTTGGGATCTTAATTTGGTTCTTTCAACTTTACAGAAGTCACCCACTGAGCCTATTTAGGATATTGCTTTGGCTGACTCTACTGATTAGGAGGATTTTCTTGTGGCTATGATGTCAGCAAGATGGATCTCAGAGCTAGCAGCCTTATCCTGTGAGGAACCCTTCCTTGTTCTTCAGAAAGACAAGGTGGTTTAGGGGCCCTCAAGTTTCCTCCTTCAAATTTAGTCAGGCCATAGCCCTTTCTTCTCTTGCTTAAAAGCATTACAAAATAATCTGTCTACATTGTTTAGATGTAGTAAGGGCAGTGAAAGTTTATCTCTTGGCCACTGCATCCATTCGAACCTTGGAATCTGTTTGTTCTGCCTGTGGGCTCTAGCAAGGACTGTCCTACATCCCATCCCATTATATCTAAATGGATTCAGCAATTTATCAGTAAAGCTTACACTTTGAAGGATAGGAATCCTTCTTTCCCTGTTAAGGCTCACTCTACATATGCCTCTTGGGCTTTTCAGCACCAGATATCTGTTTCTCAGATTTACAAAACTGACATTTGGTCTCCTGTTCACACATTTTACCAGGTGGATGTACAAACCTCTGCTGATACCAGATGTGGCCATATGGAGCTTCAAGTTGCCTTTTAAGTTGGAAACCTGGTTCCCTTGTTTTGAGCCTCTTAAATTCGCCTGCTGTGTTGTCCAACCCTCAGTTGTCTTGCCTGGGGACACTCATGGTCAAAATTGAAAATTCTGTGTTCTGTACTGTATGATTAAGAAAAACTTTTTTTTAAACTTACCTGTAATATCCTTTTCTTGGTGAACAGTACAAGGCAGGGGCGGACTGACAACTCATGGGGCCCCCGGGCAATAGGGGATCATGGGGCCCCTGTGTCCTTGCCCAAACTCAAAAAAGCCTATGAAAAAGGTACCAGGGGCATCTCATGGGGTCCCCAACTGACCCCGGGCCCTCAGGCAGTGCCCGAGTTTCCAAATGGTCAGTCCACCCCTGGTACAAGGCACAGGCACCCTCCCCTCTGCACTAGAGTTTTTCTCTGTGTGCCAAAAATCTGTGGATTCCTGAGATGGGGAGGGGTTATATTGCTCATCCTAACAACTTTGTCTGCCAGTGTTCTTTCCTGAAGGTGGCAGCATATAACCAATGGATATGATTTAAAGGAGCCTGTGTCCTGTATTTAACTCAAAGAAAAGGATTTTATAGGCAAGTCAAATATCCTTATTTAACACTATTTAAATACACATATTTAGCACTATTTACCTCTTCCCATGAGGTACTTAGACTATACGTCATGAAGGACATGATATCATGGTCATCTATGGAAAAGAAGGATTCATTAGGAATAATTCCAGAAGATAAACATAAAAAATGGTATTAAAATTGAAAGACGCAATAGTAAACAGCCAGCCCACACAAAATTGATCGTTTAATTATTTATGGTGCCTGATGGGCTGACTCATATGTGTTGGATACTTCAACAATAACATATTTGTGTCATAGTTCTGCCCACTTGAGAGTTTTGGGTGTTTCCGCCCACCATTGCATATTTACATTTTGCAGACCCTGGAATTCAAGCATATGTATGTCTCAGCTATAGAGCCTGCAAGAGAAGTTGTAAGGTGATTTATATCTTTAGTATCTACAACCAAAAAATTTGGTGGACTGTCCCTTTAAACTGCAAACATTGGTTAAAAAAATATTGTGTGGTGCATGTTGCAGATTATGCTGTGCATACTAGTTTAAGGGTGTTTACTTAGATTTACGATTCATAAAACTGTATGAGTCAGGGAGCAGCTACTTCCATCAAACGGTTTTTGTACTCTCTGTAGGGATCATTAAAGTGACACTAACTCTGGCATAAAACTGGTATGAAAGAAAAAAATGTATGCAAGTACATATTCTTAACTCAAAAAAGTACGTTCTATGGCCTCCTTCAAATATCCAAATTATTTTTTTTTTTGCTGCTGTGATCCGACTTTCTGTCAAAGGGTGGCTACATTTGTTTTCCATAGTCCCACTGTATGTAGGAACATAGCTACTTTCTTATGCTTGCTCCTAAGATGGACTATGCGATATGTAGTGTGCAAAGAGCAGTGTACATGACTGCAACCAACGTATACTTTGATGAAGTCAGAAGTGACGAAACACGTCAGGACGTAGCATCGGACGTAAACCGGAAGTTACGGAGCGGCCATTTTAGAGAAGGTTTTTATATACTGTGCTGTATTTGAGAATGGATATATGCTGAGACACAGAACTTGTATGTAAGTGCAATTTTACTAATAAATGGCTCAATTCCTACTATTGCCTAGTACACTATATTGATTTATTCTGACATATGTTATGTTGCCATTGGAAATTGTATATATTCTGGAATGAGGGGAGCCTATGCCTATTTATGCTGGTGGATTTATATCGTCTGCTAAGGTGCATGGTCTATGGGGTGGTGGAGAGTGTTCTCACATACACTGGTAATTTGTGGAGACGTGAGGTGAGCAGAAGAGTATATATTGTCTAGAGGATATTACACTTTATCTGATTTCTTTGGAGGTGCATCTCCTATGCAGAGGGGGACGGATTTTGGAGGTTGAACCAAGGAGGGAGTTGGAGGTGGAATTTGTTAAAGCTATTCTCAAGTTCACATAGGGTAAAAGTATGACATACGTTTAGAAGTGGACACACGGTGGAGTGTTTTTTGCAGGATTTGGCACTAGTTTGGAAGTGCGTTTCTTGTGAATGATATCATATATTGTGGATAATGCACTATGTGCGATTATATTTTTTCTTTTGAGGGTTAAGAATGGAATAAGAAGAATTTATCACATTTGGAGGAAGAATATTGATGAAGAAGATAATTACACTCATGGGTGTTTAGGATATTAAGACACAGAGATTTGGACTGTAAATTTTAGACTCCCGGGGGAGAAAGTATATTTTAGCGTCTGGGGTTTTATGTAATCTTGGTATAGGCACTATTATCACACCGGTATATTCACTCATTAACCAACGTACACTGCTTGTTCCGTAAGGGGGAAAAGAGGATAGGAGCTCACAGAGCATGTAACAAGGAGGTAGACAAACACAGTAATAAATTAGTTCATGAAAAAAAGATTGCAGGGCCATGAAATAGTGGATGTGCATGGATTAATTTTGCAGTATAAGGATTTTGTTTAGTGTTGATTTAAGCTGTCCCCCGTGAATTACAAGACATCCAATTATGATCTGGGCTAGACAGGTGCAGTTCATTTCATTCCAAATGGAAATTTGGACAAATTTTTTGTTATTATGATATTCAGATGTCTCTGAATTTCTGATTAACAATAGAAACTAATTTAAATGAATCCGAAATAACAAATGAAATTACTTCCGAAATTCGAACTGAATTTAAATTGAATTCAAAAACAAAATTGAATTTGGAAACAAGAATACAATAAAATAGAACAGAAAATAAAGAAAAGAAACAGAATAGAATAGAAAAGAATAAAACAGAACAGAATAGAAAATAACAGAATAGAAAGGAACAGAAAAGAATAAAAAGAATAGATTAGAATAGAAAGGAATATAATCAAATAGAAAAGAATAGAATAGAAAAAAACAAAACAATAGAATTGAAAACACAGGAATAAAAGAATAGAATGAAGTAGAATAGAATAGAAAGTAATATTCAATAAACAGTTCCTATGTCTGTCCCATGCAGCACACGTGGAGTTCTGCAAATGGTCTGAAGTTTACAAATGGACAGAACCCCTGTAAACATTTTGTTCATGAACCGCACATTAACTGTGTGCATAAGTTGACTATGTAATTTGTATGTAATTATGCGAATCATTATACACAGTAACACAAAACTTTAAAACATTTTTGGTTTTAAGGGATGAAACGTACCAGCCAGTGCGGATGTAGCTGCAGAGACTCCAAAATATCCAGTGGATGGGAGCACCATGTTGGGAACTACTGCACACACCTTGTATGCGCTATCTCTTGGAGACATCCCAGTGTAAACAGAGACCTGGAAACAGATGCATCTGTATTTCATATTCCCTTAAAACGGTATTAAGCACAAAGCTAAAAATGTATTATATTGCAGCTTATTAATCATTAGATGTGATGGCTGCATTAGTTTTGATTTCTTTGGCTTTTTCCCTCTGTTTTCACCTGGTGATCTGGTCAGTAACATATCTCCTGTATTAATGAGACAACTATGGAGGAATGAGCATAGGGGGCACAGCAGATGGCAGTGTTGTCAGTTTGGGAGGAGAGAAGTGTTAAATGTAGTATCAGATTTAAAAAGATATTAAAGCTTTGGTGTTTCTTAAAAAAAAACAAAAAAAACAAACCATGTCATACTTACCTGCTCTGTCCAATGGCTTTGCACAGAGCGACCCCAATCCTCCTCATCTTGGGTATCCTGACAGCACTTCTGGCTCCTCCTCCTTGACCAGTGCCCCCAATAGCAAACCACTTGCTATGGGGGCACTGGTGAGTGTTTGCTCCCGAGCCCCGCACTATGCATCCATAAGATACAAAGAGCTGAGGCTCAACCCCTAGCTCTCTCCTCATTGGCTCACTGGCTGTGATTGACAGCAGTAGGAGCCATTGGCTCCCACTGCTGTGTCTCAGCCTATGAGGAGAGAGAGACCTGGGACAGCCAAGGCTTCTGTGCAGATCGCTACATAGAATACATCATGGTAAAAAACCCTCAGCCTTTACAACCACTTTAAAAGGAGAAGTATAGCCAAAGCTATTTTGCCTATACTTCTACTGTAGGACACAGGAGTGCAGTTTGTTCTGCACTCCTGTGACCTGATGGAGGGTTAGAGCAGAGAGCTGGAGACCGACAGTCACAGCTCTCTGTTCAGAGAGAGGGGGAGAACTGAGTGATCAGCGGTGTTTGCTCGGTTCTCACTGCAGAGCTGGCGGGGGAAAGATGCAGCTACAAGTCGATACTGCTTCCACCTAGTGTGAGTATAAATGTACAGGTGGCATGTGTCACCTACTCGGAAATGCAAAAGAGAGTGAGTGTGTGTGTGTGTGTGTGTGTTTTTTGTGCACTCCTGCTGCCCTGTAGCAGTATTTCTGCTATAGGGCAGCGGGAAAGTGGTTAACAATGTCTCACTAAATCTGTACATTTAAAATAGGACCTTCACTCCCACCCCCTTGTCACCGGGTTTCTTTTTTAACACTCTTTTACATTTTAAACTGGGTTATTTAAAAAAAAAAAAAAAAAATACAGTCACAAGCCTGGCAAATCCAGCATTAGTCTATTAAGATCTGCTGCTCTATGCTGCACAGCCAGGTCCCATGGCACCATCTTTACTTCTGATGCTACTGGAGGCCAGCTGTCTATTCCAAGTTCAGACAGGTGGTCCCTTGTTGATGAGCTCCAGCACCACCTTCCTCCAGCCATTGTATTGTAGGTGATGCCTCCTGGGATATATGACATGCTTATCTCAGGAGGCTTCAGGATCGGTGGTGACGTCATTCTTACCTAGGTAAGAATGGAGATGATGGCCAGATATGAACTGAAATGAGAAATAAAACATATGTATGGGGATGTTAAAAAAAAAAGCAAAGTCTCATTCTGGAGTGAAGGTCTGCTGAGATCCTTCTTTTCCTATCTGGTTTAGTCCCATGTCATAGAAAACACATTTCGGTTCCAAACTACCCATCACACAATTTAGTTTCTCATTATATTTTGTCCATTTTAGAGGCTTTTAAATCATTGTATAGTTTGTTTTGAGGAGCTGTATTGCAGCTATAATCAGATCTACATATGTGCATTTCATATGTTTAGAATTGGTATGGTGCACTCAGCAACTGCAGATAAAGATTTGCCATTTTACTAATGTGTCACTAGGTGGCAATCTTGTGTCTCTAAACAGATCATCTTTACTGCCATGTGGCTGAAAAATCATTTTTATGTCTGACATTTTTCACAGTTAATCACAGCTAAGCTTTTCAATCTAGAAAACGTCTTTCTCTGCTCCTGCAGGCT